AAGAAGAAGAAGAAGAAGAAGAAGAAGAAGAAGAAGAAGAAGAAGAATTATTCAACTATTATTGAAAGGGTTAACTCAAGATGTTGTCGGCCACGAAAGGAGCATAGATCTCATTGTCCCCATTCTTTCAAGTGAAGTACCTATGACCTCACTTGGCCTCTGGGGTCATCCACTATGAATGAGGCAGCAGATGCAGGCAATAACTCAGTGAATGGAAAACCAGCCTTTAGAAGTACTTCACAATTGGAAGCAGACATGCGTAGTGGTACTGAGAGGCGTTGGTGTCAGCCGACTGCAGGCTCCCAAGGTGAGCATCTCAAATTCCTCAAAGGAAAGATTTTTCAGTATGAACACCTACTATGGTTATGGAACTACAGTCAAGGGAATAATCCCCACTTAATAGGCCACTTTATTTTTTGCCTTCAAAGCCAGGTATGTAAATTTCATTGAGTCCCTGACTGTCTTCCTGAATAAAGTAGCCCCCTTTTTGTTAGTCCATAAGAATGGTTCTTTAAAGGTGACCCAGCTCTGGTAGGTCAATTCGGAAAGTGAATTAATTCAATAAGTTAAGTGTGCTGGGTAAATATTGTCTCTGAAACCAACTTGTGATGTTAACTGTGAACAACTTCCTTGAGTCATATATGTACAAGTAGGTCTTGACTTACAACCATCCACTCAGTGACTATTCAAAGTTACAATGGCACTGAAAAAAAATGACATGAATGGGAATAGCATAGCATAGCATAGCATAGCATAGTATAGGAGTTGGAAGGTCTTCTAGTTCAACCCCAAAACCTATTCATTTCAGACAAATCCTTGTCCAATCTCTTCTTAAAACTCCCAGTGTTGGAGCATTCGCAACTAAGTATTTTTCACACTTACGACTATCCCCATGGTCACAGGAACAAAATTTGGATGCTCCAAAACTGATTCATATTTATCATCAGTCAGTAGGCAAAATATGGCACAGACATTATGTAAATGTTCACGATAATATATCTGTTTGTCTAGATCTTTTCCACTCCTTTGAAATCTACCTCAGACTTCAAATTTCATTCATGAAAATAGAATAGCTTGGGATATTCCTGAGCATTATGACCTAGATATTTAGACTTCTGAATCATACACTTTTGAACTGTGACAATATTTTTTTTTCAATAAATTTTTTATTTTTATATTTTAAAAACATCTCCTTTGGTGAATAATGTGGTTCCAGGTTTTTACATTTCAATACAAACATGACCATAATTACATATTCTTCTTTCATATTCAATTTCATATCATATTATTACTTATTCCATTTTCCTTTAAATATCCTCAAATATTCTTATATTCGTTACACTTATTTTATCCAATTCCAATTCATATCATAATGTATTTCATTTTTCTTTAAATATTCTCATATTTTGTTTTACAATATTATCTATGATTCTTATTTCATTTCTATATTAATTGCACATAATTACTTTTATCTGAACTGTGACAATATTTCTAAGAAAAAATAAATTTCCCTGCCCATTGTGGATTTCAATGCATCCAAGCTACGATGAGTTAGAAGAAAGAGACTTCAGTGCTGAAGATACAAGATAGAAAAATGGGGCTTTTCAATATTTAAGCTAGTTTGGATCTGAGCTACCTTCTATAATTGTTTTTATGTTCTTGTTGCTGATTGGTATCCATATCAGTTTGAACATATAATAATTTAAAAGCTTATTTTGGACCAGCGACCTAACTCGATCAAACTTTACTTTCATGTAAATGTGTCTCATACTGAGATAGCTTTCTTGAGGAGGAGAAGCAAAATATACAACTGATTTCATTCTGTAGATGTGAAGGGACAACCAATCCTTGATACAACTTTTGCTATGAAAATGATGATTACTTCTCAATCACAAGTGGTCCAATCACTTAGACTCCAGATGAGTATCAATGCCTTGAAATGAATTCCTTCGTCTTATCTTCTTTATTATCCATTTCTTTCTTTCCAATGAGTATGAGTACATTGATGTAATTATCGCAACTCTTCATTAGCTTTCCATTGTAAAAGTTGTTAAATGGACTGGATGGGACTAGCATACATTTGCTGCTTTTTTCTTTCTTTCTTTTATCATTATATAGCTGTGTTGCTTGTATCTTTACAGTTTCTGTTGTTTATTTGTTTCCTAGTATGATTTGATTGCTTATTAGTAGCCTATGACTATTGCTGAGTGTTGTATCTTATGATTATTGATGAATGTATTTTATTTTTTCTTTATGTACATTGAGATCATATGCATTAAAGACAAATTCCTTGTGTCCAAT